AAAAAAAAAAAAGTGAATCCCTACCTACCGACCCTAATTTTTTTCTGGACTGTAATAGGAAACACAACATTTATTTTGTTAGGCCTTAGTTGTCACTTATAGCCTTAAAGCTTATAGCATTTAACTTAGCGTATAGAATTTTCTTCTCACACAACCAGTAAAGGTTCTCTGGTTGTGTAAGAAGAAAATTCTATACCCTAAGTATCTTCCAACCTGATAAAATTATTTACGGAGCATTTAACATAGTGCTACATTAGACTTACCCACAAACTTGACCTTCTCCCTGCCTGTGTTTATGTCCCACAGTTTGAGGGTGAAGTGTGGCTTCATTTATTAGTCTAGTAGGTATCATTACTGTAATTATATACATGCATAGTACTGTACAGTATTACATTTGTACACTGTACTAAAAATAAGTTAAACATGATTATACTCACCCACAAACTTGACCTTCTCCCTGCCGGTGTTCATGTCCCACAGTTTGAGGGTGAAGTCGCCTGACGCAGTGACGACATAGTCTCCGGTCTCAGACCAGGCGCAGGAGGTGATCCAGTCCTGGTGGCACTCTGATATAACCCTGCTGGGCTGGGGGTCAGGGCTAAACAAACACAGGTGGGAGACCTTAGCATAGCAACATTACAGTTATGTGTTACTGGAAGATAGTCAGAAAATGTCCACTCTATGCATGATGTACAAAATGACTAATAAACTGGTGGACGTAACAACTTCTAGTATCCAATACTGACCAAGAAAAGAACTAGAAACAGTCATGCCTTCAAATATGAGAGTTATTCACCAAGGATTGAGGTGTTCAAAAACTTATATTTTACAACAACTATTTTAGAGTGGAACTCGTTGCCACCAAGCACAGTTGGGGCATCATCACTAGAAAGCTTTAAGCAATTCCTGCAACTAAAGGTGTAAAGATTCGGTGACATAGAGCTGCCACCACGACACATATGCGTTCATGATCTGTTAAAAGTGCTAGTATCTACACAGACTGTTAATATCAACCTTTACTTACCCAGATTTGATGTCCCAGAGATGCAGAGTTTTGTCCCTGCTGCCTGTCACCACGGACCGCCGGTCTGGGCTGAAGGCACAGCAAGTCACAGGACCGCCGTGGCCGCGTAACACTGACCTGGGTTTTACCTCATATGGCATGGCCTGGGAACAACAACAACAGCAAAAAATACTGGTCAGTTTTTAAACTGGAATTTTGGTCCCATCACCACTGACCTACACTGACCTGGGCTTTACCTCGTACGGCATGGCCTGGGAACAACAACTTTAAAACACTGTGGTTAGATTTTAAACTAGAATTTTGGTCCTGTCACTACAGATCGAAGGTCTCCACTGGTCTTGTAACACCGATATGGCATGGCCTGGAAACAACAACGTTAAAATACTGGTCAGTTTTTAAACTGGAATTTTGGACCTGTCACCACTGACCTACACTGACCTGGGCTTTACCTCGAAAGGCTTGGCCTGGAAACAAGGGCAATAAGTGCTGATTAGTTTTTAAACTGGAATTTTGGTCCTGTCACTACAGATTGACGGTCTCCACTGGCCTCATTACAACAACCTGGGCTTTACCTCATACGGCATGGCCTGGAAACAATGGCATTTAATAACGGTTAGCTGTAATCTCCAAGCAGATCTTTGCAAGACAGAAAGTGGCTGCAAGACAGTATCCAACCAGTTAAAGACAGTATCAAATTGGCAGGGCAGGGAAAAAAGAAATAGCATGCATGCAGACCATAAAAAACCTTATCACATTTAAGTCCCTTTATATGTGTTAGACTGAAGTATTGACTGCATGTAGTTCTGTCAGTTCAATCCAGTGAAAGAAGAGTGACGGATGTCACTTGGAATGTCCAATTTATCCAGCAGTAGTCTAGAGTTTGATTTGTCTTTGAATGATTACAGAAAGGTCCTTACAGATTTTTTGATGGTCTGTACAGTTGGGATTACAGAAAGGTTCTTACAGATTTCTTAATTGCTGTTATTATGTGTATTTCTATTTGAATGTATGTTTTATATGGGCCATGGATGCCTAGAATAAAGAAAGAAGACAGAAAGGTCCTTACAGATTTCTTGATGGTCTGTACAGTTGGAATCCTCCACACGACAGCCGTGAAGTCAGCCGAGGCCGACACGGCGAGGGACTCCACTTTCGTGTACGCCACAGAGGTCACCGACCCCGTGTGACCCACCAGGGTCATGACCTTTGACCCGTCAGCGGCCGAGAGGACGGACAGGAAGGAGTCATCAGACCCGGAGATGAGGCTGTGGTCATCTATCCAGGTCACACATCTGGGGGGGATAATTGATAAAGACATGTCTTGAAAGTTCATCCGTGTGGGTAGAAGTCATTATTATAAACCTACGCAAGTTTGAAATGCAAATTAAACAACAATGTCAAGAGTCTGATACAAGTTAAGCATTAACCCTTGTCCTGCTGGCATTTTTTTTTACACATTTTCAATAATTTTATGTCTTACTCAGGTCATATAGCCCCTTGACTTTTTTGGCATATTCACTTGTGTTGAATGGGAAATACCCCCAAATCGTACATTATACAGGGGGCTATATACATGTAGATGGTACCGTACTGTATATGCAACCCATACAGTACATTGTATATAGACACCACAGGACAAGAGTTTTAAAACTCCAGAAAACTCTAAGTCTATGAAGCTCTACAGGCTTTATAGATAACAAACGCAATGCATGGTTTACACATACCTGACTGGTGCATTGTGGGGAACAACAGCCCACTTCTCCAGCCCTGTATCCATGGTAACCAGCCGGACACTGCCGTCATGGTAACCGATGACAACATCCTCGCCTGATGGGCTGATGGACACACTCAGGGCATGGCTCAGGTCCTTGTGCCCAAAACTGTTCATCTGGAGAAAAAAAGAGAAAAATTTGAGACTAAAGCTTGATGTAAGTAGTATTCAATGCATGTAAAGCAACAGAAAAGGCCTCCTTAGATTGAGCTGGGTTAAATACTCTCACTTTGCTAGTATGTCTATCTTCCTTAGAGGTTAAAACATAGTTTAGCTGGCAAAAGTGGTCAATAGAAAAAGGTGTGATTGGTTTAGCAAGCCAGTGGCAAGAATACAGTCTACATTGTATGTGCTGTGCTGATGTTAGATTATACAATCATTTATATTGGTTGAAAAATATAGAAGATCAGATTATTCAGATGCAAACATATTCAAGTAAAATTAAAATCTAAACTGTAGTAAACTTATATTTGCAAGCACAAACATACATGTAGCAGCATCCCAAAAATCCTTTGAAGAAACATCAAGCGTCAAACATGCAAGGGATGTGGCTTGCCAAAAAATGAAGACAACATCCCTGGAATGTTTACCTGTTTGCCCAGGTTGCCTGCCCAAACCTTGACCTTGTGGTCGTTGCCAACGGTGATGAGGTGACCTCCGCCGGGGGAGAAGGTCAGGCGATTTATCTGACCGCAATGTCCTGGGAGGGTGAAGTTCAAGTTCAACACATATGGAATTTGTCTGAATCATTACAGTCAGACTGCAGATGACGGTAAATTAAGATGGTGTACAAAAACCTGTGCCCTGTGCTGAAGATGACATTCTATAAGTGATATATGATGTTATAACAGTACAACACCCTTCACTTAACCGCGACGGGGGCCCACAATTTCAAGTTTCAGTTAATAAAACCTTATCTTAAGATTTCATCTTTTTTTAAGAGTCAGTCATTACACAAGAGGTATGAAAATCAGTGGCTAATTCTTTATCAGATAGTTTTTAAGAAAACAATAAATACTTGGGTTAGATATGCATAAACAGTACATGAGACATGCCATTCAAATTGAATATATGATAATAATTTATTGTATTATTACTAAAAAGAAATCGAAGATCTCACACCTCCATGAAATGTTTAATATGTGAATTTCGTGTTTTATTCATTATCAATTTCTCTTTGATTATGTCAATGCATACATTGCAGGCAAATACAATTATTCATTGTTTTGTCTAAAAACAGAATTTTACAAATAACATTGAAGGCGCTGAAAAGAGGATTACTTCATAGCGTCAGCTTGTGCCCATAAAAATGACATACTTTATTTATTATATTCGTGACACCAAAAAGCAAGCCTTACTGCAGGGATAAAACTCGGAGTCCCTTAATTCCAGAAAGTTTGCGTACTTTTAGTATTACACAAAATTAGAAATTACAACAGATAAGACAGGCGATATATATATCCCTCATAATAATACATATTATAACAAGCAAGCCTTCTAAGTACAGATGAGGTCTAGAAAAAAATAAAGCTTGACTTATGACAGTTCTTTGTCCTTTGCCAAGCTTGAATTTTCTGAGCACTGTGTCCTCTTCATTGTACTGTACAGCTAGCTGTACAGCAGCGGCCATCCTCTTCATCCAAAAAATCCCCAGCTACGGCCAATTCATATGGCTGCATTTGTGTTCCAACTGGCGCTGTGACAGCCATGATCCTATCATTGTAAAGGTCTTCCTCTGATTCTGGTGATCCAGCAGCCCTTGGTATATTGAACTGTCCAACATCTGATCCCATCTGGCTCAACCAGTGAGGCTGATGCTCCCATTGCCTTTGGTTACCATAAGGATCCTGAAGTTCATACAATGTCATGCGTATCGGTGGTTCAACTGGCACAACCATATGCATTGGGAATGCATGAACATGAAAACCTGTTTCTTGCGGATAAAAGACTTGGATCCTATCATCTGCTACAAAACTGTCCTCTTCATCTGACACTGAAACCGCTAGTGTTGATGGCGATGACCTTCATGTGTCCACATTTCTGCAACATTACTATCATTAATATAATTATCATAATATACAGTACTATATGTACTAGGTGCTGCTGGGATTACTACAGATGGGACTGTCACATGTTCCAATACTGGCACGGGGGTGTCTATGGGCTGAAAGACAGCAGGGTGGGTTTGTACAGGAGTTGGTGCTGCCCTTTCTCTGCGCTGTCCTACCACCTCTGCTGGGGAGGCCTCCTGACTAAGAAACTCGAGCCTTCTCTGTTCCAATTCAAAATGAATACTAAATTGTTCTATGGCTTTTCTGAGGCTCATAGTGGGATGTCCTTCATGGTCTTCTTCAATACAATCAGCACACAAGGGCACCTCACACTGGTTGCAGTACAGCTTGACTTTTTCAGAGGAATGGATGCCGCACCTATCATCAGCCTGGGGTTGCTCACTTGTTTGTCCAGACAGTCTGGTCTGCTGCTGGAATCTCTCACACAAATTTGCCACAATGTGGTTATCAGACAAGGCTGCAACCCCCTCAGGTGGCAGACGGACTTGTTGACGACAGTTTGGGCACTGGAAAGTCCTCCTCCCCCCTGCAAGTTCCCTCAGACAGTCCTGACAGAAGGTGTGCTGACAGGGCAGCACCTTGGGCCTGGTGAACAGCTCTAGGCAGATGCCGCAAGTCAGTTCTTCACGGATTTGTGTCCCCAAACTTGGCGGTGCAGCCGCCATGACTGTTGTCCTTGCTGACGTGGAACCAACAACTTAAATTACAGTCCTTAAGGGTATATTTTTTTAACAGGATTTTTTTCTGGGCCATCTGATTTGTCAGAGGGGGGGGAGAGATAGTACTTTCGTCATATAAAAAGGTTGACATGGTTATGAATAGCACAGACCTTAACAGTGATCATATACATGATCGTATTATGCAGGTGTTACTTGAAAGTTTCCATGAAATGTCCATGAGTTGCTATCTTTTTTTTATTGTTGTTGTTGTTTTCAAGATTCAAACAGAACAGCAGGGTTAAAGATCAGCATATCGCATCACAGTGACAGGCTAACGACAGTGCACAGATCAGGTTTATCAAGTTTGTAAAGGGCCAAAATTACGGTACACAATGCAAGCCTGTAGGGCATACGTATCCAAATGAGTACTGTAACTTCATTTATTTAGCAGGGACTGAATTTTGTGGTAGAAGGCAAAAGGAGATTTTCACACAGTTCTGTAGTACAGTACAATTCTGTAGTACAGTAATACAATGGAAACATGTAATTCACAGTGTCATGATTTTGGGCTGGAAGAAGAGGTCATTGAGATAGTGCAAAGGTAAGATAAAAATGCCAGCAACATTAATATTCAAGATTTACAGTATAAACACAATTATGTTGTTGGAGGCACATGACATTTCATCCCTCACTTAGCCACAGGAATAAAAATTACTGTTTTAGTATTCACATTTTGCATTGGAAATTTTACTCAATGAAATTATCACTTCATCCAACAGGAGTTAAGTTTCATTTTTAGCTAGCATTGTCTTTGTATTATTGTTGCATTTCCATAGATCTTCAGTGCTGCTCTTTTTGTGGGACCGCAAGGGTTGCAAATTACAGCTATCAACTTTAACATCTGTGACTGGGACTTGAGTGGCATATGTTTTTACGATTGGTATGTATGTTGAATTGAAATTGTAATGTATATTCTTATTGTGTATTCTTATTTTCCCATGTATATTGTGTATTTTATGTAATACCCCAGGGATACCTGCAAAACAGGTCAGTTAGACCTGAGTGTATTACTCTGGTTAAAAACAAAAAGTCTGACTGTCTCCCTGCATCTATAGAAAAAGCAAATATGGCAAAAGGGGTGATCCAATATGAATAATGATGATTGATAAATAAGTATCTGCATCTCACCTGTAAGGTCCCCCACCGGAGTTCCAGTCTCAGCTGACCACAGCTTGACCTCACCACTGAGGGCAGCGGAAGCAAGATGGCGGCCGTTTGGCGAATACGCCACGTCTCTCACCGAACTGTCGTGACCTCGGATCACCGCGACCCTCTTCTTGTTCAGGGTGTCGTACACTTTCAAGGTTGTGTCCCAGCATCCCGTCACGATTTTGTCGTCTTCCGGGTGGAAGGCAACGCAGTTGATTGGTCGCTTGTCGCGGAACTGCGTCGTGGGCTTCTTGTCGTCGGAATCCACCTTCAAAACATATCAACCATCATAGTAGGTCAGTGAAGGTTAGACATCCAGGTAATAAGATATTCCAAAAAGATATGATACTGTCTTCACTTATTTGCATATCAAATTCAATAGTTTGTGCTTATAAACCTGCATTTCTCCTCTGGTCTCTCAGTCACTGACGAAAGGTAGTGGATGCTACCTAAAACGTCTGACCGTTTCCAACATCATATCCAGTTGCTTCAGTAACTGTTTTTTGGCGAATCATCCTAGTACCCTATAGTATCCCATAGCTTCCCAGACAACCTACTCTCATTATTCACCTAAATTACCTACTTCGCCAAATCCGATTGTTCAATATTTCCTTCTTCGTTCTTTAGGCTACACCAATTTCATTTGTTGTTTCGGATTTTTTCAGAAAATAACGTCAAAATATGTCTTTCATTGAGCATTTTGCAGTTGAACCAAACATTTTTATTTTTTTGCAAACCAGAAAAAAACAAATTAAATTGGTGTGGCCTTAAGTTGTAATATTACCATTTAATGTTCTTTACTTTCTGTATTCAATTTGGTTTTGTTTTATATGCATGTGCAAATAAAAATAAATAAATAAACAAACAAACCTTCCAAATAAGGACTGTGCAGTCCCAGGACGCAGACACCACGACCTTCCCTCTGGGGTCGGAACAGCACGAGTTGGTACGGCGCTTGTGATTGGTCAGTGACGAAATCCGATACCCTCCAGCCATGTCCCAGATAGAGAGTGTTCCGTCAGCGGACGAGCTGCAAATTTTACTCGTTCCGACGAAGCAGCAGTCGGTGATTTTGTTGGCGTGTCCGACGAAGGTTTTCAGCTGCTTTCCGGTGGCCAGTTCGTAGAGGTGGACAACGCAGTCTTCAGTACCACAGACAAAAACCTGCAAGAAAAGTATGTTTCTTAACATATCATTTCTAATTAACGTTATTTATTGTTATTCATTGTTACTATTTTTGTTATTCATTGTTACTATTTGATTTGTTTCCGTTATTATATTGATCAAATATTTGAATTACTTATTGTTATGTATTATTACCATTTGATTTGTTACCATTGTCAATTATTTTAGTCGGGGGAAGATCACGGACAAGCCATTATGGCTTTTAATCTTTCCCCTGCATATCCTATTTTACTGTAATATGTTCATTTTATTGTTCTTCTCTCTGATTATATGCAAATGAATAAACAAACAAACAAACAAACCTTCCCGTCCGGAGAAACGGCCACGCAGGTCACCGCGTCACCAAACGCGTCCAGGATCCGATAGCAGGGGTCGCTGACCTCAGACCTGTTGAGCTGTCTGACCATGTGGAATCCAGTGCCTGATTTGTTGTCTAGCAGAGAGGATACAGCCTGGGCGGGCGCTGAGGTGGCCGCTTCGTTTGCTGCCTGTTGGAGTGTGAGTGCTGGGTAGGCACTCAGGATGTGAAGGTTCCTGGACACAAAGGAAGAAAACTGCTGGACTTTTGGTTCGGCAAGAAACTTGTCCTGCAAACGGGCATTGATCCGGGACAGCGACGGACAGCCCTGGGCCTGATAGTCCTCCATGAGCTGTGCGGCCATTCCCATGGTGCACTTGGTCTGTGAGAGCAAAAAATAAAAGTAAAGTTTACAAACAGTAAAACGTTGCTTCCATGGTATTCTATGATGAAGGTCAAACGACTGAACTTATGATGTAAAGGAAAAATTTAAGAACACAAAAAGATTGGTAAAAATTGGTTGGCAAAAAAAGGAGTTATTTTTGTTTTAAGCCTGGACTACATTGAGCCTTGTCTTTGTGTTAGAACCAAAAACTCTATGCCATATGAGATAGTGTCTTCAAGTCTATCAAATATTGGCATTCCATTTTGCATCTTTCTTATGCATTTTGACAGAAGTGAGTGGGGCTATGGCATTGGTTTATCCAAAGACATTATACCTGTAATACAATGTCCTTGGTTTATCCTTACACACCTTGACAAAGTTTAGGTTGGTGAGAACGTCTTCTAACTGATTGAAGGCGCCTGCACTGGCCAGGTGGTAGGGCAGTTCTGAGGTGGCCATTGCGTGGGTGCCTGTCCAGGAGTCGTCCCTGCCAGGGTCACCACAGGTCAGCAGGTACCCGGATATCAGGCAGTGCAGTCTGCAGTACAAAGGACAGCAAGTAATTCTGTCAAGAACTTATGACAAAAAAACTGGCTATGGAAAAATATCCTTTTTGTCCTTACTGGTTTGTGGACATACCAACCACTAAGTACCTGATACCAGCCCGGAAGTTAGAACAAGAAACAGTCATGCCTTTGAATATCAGAGTTAAAGAATTGAGGTGTTCAAAAACTTGTATTTTCTCATTACTATGCATAATACATGTATATGATATTAGAGTGGAACTCGTTGCCACCAAACTAGCTGCCGCCGCGCCACATTCCTGCAAAGCTGGACCAGGTGTGTTACGTGAATGGCAAAAGGTTATTCCTTGGTCTTTTTAACTTCGTGGCTACATTTTGTATCAATCTCAAGAAACCACAGACCTAGCCTGGAACTCAGTCCCCCCAGGCTTGATGTAGCGCTGTGTGACGGCCCTGAGGAACTCGCTGTGGGCCAGACACAGGAGCCTGGAGCCAGACTGCTGCACCGTGGGCTGCAGGAAGGTCTGCAAGCCTCGCACCAAACGGGCAAAGATCGCCTGATGGGGAAAACAGCAGACATACACTTGTTAATGCTTGTCCTGCTGTCATTTTTTATACGTTTTCAAATGATTTCATGTCTTCTTCAGGTCATAGACCCTTGACGATACTTCCGTATTTGACGATACTTCCGTATTTGCTGTGTTTTGTTTCAGTATGACACGTTGCACGAGAATGCATCTAAATCTTACATATACAGGGCACTATATAGATGAACTGTATGTGCAACTCATATATCTAGAGAGAGATTATGAATCAAAGGCATTAACATACAACATCACCTTAGGAAGCCAATAGGAAACTGTTAAAGACAGAACCAGAAAAAACAAGAAATTCATGAAAATATATAAATTTCACAACAGAGTTAGGATATCTTTGACTTCCAGTAACAGTTTTTTTTTCAACACATGGAAAAGAAAAAAAAAAAGTGAGTAAATCATGTTTCTCCCCACCTGAGGCAGCTGCTTGTCTGGTGACATCATCACGTTGGTGACATCATCGACCGAGTACCGCTGATCCCCCAGCTCTCGGGACAGACTGAGCATGCCCAGTAGGTCCTCCTCCGACAATCCGTTCCGCGTGCTGGCCAGCAGGGTCATCGCCATGGAGACGAGGTCGCGCCCGTGGTCGGTCTCCAGGCGCTGTAAGATCTCCTGCAGAAGTTTGGTGATGGTCTGGGCCATGTTCCGCAGACACTGGGACACCTGATGTCACAGCGGAAGAAAACATACAGTCATGTATTTTCTTCGAAGGAAAACATATTTTTGTTCTGTTCTTTCCTCTTCTTTTTCTTCTTCTCCAAAGAAATAAAGTCAATGACCTGAACCAGATGTCTGTCACCATGGTAACTAGTGTTGGGTTACATCATGCTGCAATTTTATTGCAGGAGGGATTTAGACTCCAGGAGTGTCAGTGGTAACATGCACAATAAGATGAAAGTTGGACATCCAGTTAAGCCAGAAAACAGATACTCAAGCAACAGGATTTCCAGAATCATATCCAGTTGCTTGAGTAACTGCTTTCTGGCATGCAGAGTACTCTCAACTACATATATTAGAAACAAGAAAAATTAAACTGACCTTTTCAAAGACACCAAAAACTCTCAGCTCTTCACAAGCCAAGGCCAGGAACAGAGGATTGTGGGATTCCCTCTTTCCAACAAGCAGCTTCATCTGTAACCATAGCAACAACATTGCAACATCAGCAGAACATTCAAACATGTCACCATGGTAACCAGTGATCGCATTCACCAAATCTACATTCAGCAATATTTTATTAACAAGATATTATTCTAGAGACTTCAAATCTCTAGGAAGTATTCTAACTAAGGCTTTGTGACTGTATTGTAACTGTGGTAAGGATTATATTGCACTGCTTCCTGAATTCCTCCACATAAAAACTACTACCTGGTAAGTAAAGGAATTTAGTGATCTCAATACAATTTTAGCTCGCTGAAGAGCTAATCTCCCACTGATTGTGACAGAGAAGACAGACGCTATGTACAGTATTTACAGAATCATTGTACCGGGGAAATTCCCCTAGCTCTTTTTGACAATGAACAGTGGACCACAGCTTAACGTCCCGTCCTAAGGACTGTGACACTTTCCAGTAGAATGCATGTCTGGTGAGCGACAACAGCCGGGATTCGAACTCCCAACCTCTCGGTCCAGATGTAGGGTTGCTAACCACCAGACTATGCATGCTACTACTAACCTGGCTCTATCATGAAAGCTTGTCTGTGTTGGTAGTTACACGTTTAGAGTAAAAACTTTTGATCCAACACAATAAAGTTCTCTAACCTAGAGCTTTCGACCAGGCACTCTGGTCTTCCTCAGTAGACTGACCCAGTGTGACTTCACATGTGGCTTCTTTGAAGTGTGACGTCAACACTGGGTCAAAGGTATCTGGTAGACGATGTCGGCCCCTGTCACGGTAGCATGTAACTATTAACACAGATGAACTTTCCTGATAGTATAAGAAGTGATTTTGGAAAGAGTACTAACCTGGTTGTTGAAAGGCGACTCGTCCAGTGCCTTCCTGTGTTTCGCCAGCGCTCGCCGCACCATGTCGGCCTTGTCCCAACCGTCCAGACTCCCGACGTTGATGAACGTTGCGTCGCGGCGGGACAGCGAGCGATGTACATCCTGGTCCTCCGTTACCGTGACAATGAACTTGACGTTCGGAGGCATGATGCGAGGCAGCCATTCCATACTCCTGTCTCAGCAAAAATAAAGAGAAAAAAAATCAGCATAATGTTCACAATTGCTTAAAGTATGTATTACTAATTTCAATGTATTTGATTTAGATTCTCACAGTCTAAACACTTGAAATAGCAGCTAAAATTTTTAAAACTAGTCATATTAACAGTGAACGAGGAATTGTAATGTCCCTGGAATAACGCATTCTGCTATCCACCTTTTGTTGTAACCATGTCTTGTCCTGTGTAAATGGTGGGCCCCATTGAAGAGCAACCTCTACTACATGTATATGCTACCCAGCAGTTTAATGATGAAATAAATACATGTACTCGTAGACCAGCTTGTTGTCTTGATGTCTAACCTTTATCAATGGCATTCATTTTTAAGGAAACCTAAAAAATGGAAACTTACTTGGCCTGGTGTGCGTCTTCCATCTGGTCCAATCCATCCATGAAGATGACCACAGGAGAGTCTGGAACCTTCCCAGCAGCCTTTAGGATTTCCCCAAACTGGTTCTGAAGGTTCTTGTAGGAGCCTGGAACCTCACAGGCTGAAGGAAGGTGAAATAAAACATTCAATTTATTATCTTTGTACATACATATATACAGGTTAACCAGCAATACTGGTAACTGGAACCTCCTCGGCAGCCTTCAGGATGTCCCCAAACTGGTGCTGAAGGTTCTTGTAGGAGCCTGGAACCTCACAGGCTGAAATATGAAATAAAACACTCGTCTATTATCTCTGTACATATACAGGTTAACCAGCAATGTCTTCCACATGTATTTTTCCTCACTTGACTCACAGGTAAAAATAAAAAATTGGTCTTTACGAAACTCTGGTTCTTGTAGGAGCCTGGAACCTCACAGGCTGAAGGGGATGGATTAAAACATTTGTCTTGTATCTCATAAAATAACAGCAAATGAATTCATATTATATAGTCTGTATTACTTATTTTCTCATTGAAAATAATCAGCACAGCACAGAATTCAGCACCAAGGAGAGTTCATATATATGGAGTCTAAATCCCTCCTGCTATAAAATTGCAACATGATGTAACCCAACACTAGTTACCATGGTGACAGACGTCTGGTTCAGGTCATTGACCTTATTTCTTTGCAGAAGAAGAGGAAGAAGAATCAGAGGAAAAACAATATGTTTTCCTTCTGAGAAAAACAGAGATGGTAAACATAAAAATGTTTTTACCAAGAGAGAAACGCCTCTTCATCTCCTGACACAGCCTGGTCAGGGTAGCTGAGATGTCTGTGGAGTTTGTATTAGTGTTGGTGTTGGTGTTTTGGGACATTCACTTCTTTTGGGACATTCCTCTCTTTTTCCTCAGAGTCTGTTTCTATCTTCTTCTGCAAACAAATAAGGTCAATGACCTGAACCAGACGTCTGTCACCGATGGTAACTAGTGTTGGGTTACATCATGTTGCAATTTTATAGCAGGAGGGATTTAGACTTCTGTCACCATATATGTGAATGTGTTTGAGTAAGAATGGGTAGATTCAGGTGCGGTACTAGAGGAAGGGAACTCTCCTTGGTGAAGGCAGTTGACAGGTTAAAAAAAACAAAACAATATCTTTACCAAGGGAAAAGCGTCTCTTCATCTCCTGACACAGTCTGGTCAGAGTAACTGAGATGTCCGTGGAGTTCGGAGCTGCACCTACGAAGTGTGTCAGAACACAGTCAGGAGCTGAGCAGCTGTCTGAGTCCAGGTACTGCTGCACCAGTCTGGCACACAGGGACGTCTTACCACTGCCTGACTTTCCCACAACCACCAGGGTACCATTCCTGATGGGGAGGACAATGTATTAAGTCAATATTTGACAATTTTAAGATCAGTTATTTGAAAGTTTTTCTAGGTGCGTCATACAAAATAATCTTCATCAACAAAGATTTTTATTATTACTTTTCTGACACTTAGATGTCAAGAATATGCTGACTATATATGAGATAGTAAAATATACTGTAACATTTAATATCATTACAATCATAACATTATGTAAACCTTAGAAAATATTTGGATGCACAGATGCACCCACATAAAAAAAAATTGGGTGCACAGCTCCAAATTTCGGTGCACTAATGAAGGTACACATACCAGTATTTGAGCCCTGTATAAAAGTTTTTATTTGTAAGAATAAAGAGAAGAGAGAGTGGCAGACAGCAATTGTGACTACTTGAGTCAATCTGCATAATAATTATATAATGAAGACTTTATTAACAAGAAACTTCAGCTCTTGTTAAGTATTGTCTAAGTGCAAATGCCTGACTACATCTAAGAAAACTTACTTGCAGAGAGAGATCTCGGCGGCACACTGCTTGAGGAGTTTGTCCCTTCCCACAAACCTCTCTGCCTCCTGCTGCACGAAGGCCTGGTGAAGACCAGTCTCACCCCCGCTGGCATCAGTGGACTCTTCCAGAGGGAACTCCCTAGAACAACAGTACAGGGAACTGCAGTTAGACACCTGGGAACTGCAGTTAGATACCCAAGAACTGCAGTTAGATACCCGGGAACTGCAGTCAGATACCCAGGAACTGCAGTTAGATACCCGGGAACTGCAGTTAGATACCCAGGAACTGCAGTTAGATACCCAGGAACTGCAGTTAGATACCCGGGAACTGCAGTTAGATACCCAGGAACTGCAGTTAGATACCCAGTTATCATGATTCTTTTTATTTACTAGTGTCAGTGGTAAATATTTATTTATATTATAGGATTTACCACATTTGTGGAGGGATTTACCACATTTGTGGAATGATTGACATTATAGGTGACTATGACCTCTTTGAGATGTCAACCCTGTCAACCCCTATCACACTAATATGTGCAAACTTTCCAAGTGTTCAGCTGCTAATTATGCATAACAAAGGACCTTTACAACTTACCTGACCACGGCATTCCACAGATTGTTCAGCACCCTCATTCCGAACTCTTCCAGCCCGGACACCATCGCCTTCCCATCATCCATCACTCCGGCAAAGGCACATGGGTACCCATCATGCACTTCCAGCCCGCTTCTGCGAATCCTGCTCTTCAGTTTCTCCATCTTTTCCTTTGAAGAGGAAGACTCGGAGAGAAAACTGTCTCTCAGCTTCCCCGACACATCGCTCTCGAAGGAAGGGTCGCGGAAGTAGAAGAAAGCTCTGCCCTGTGCAGCTGATGGGTCGGCGAGTGCCGCGTGGTGGATTTCTAGTTCTGTCATCGACCGGCCTGAAATCAATAGAAGTCAAGCTGTTAAAATACCTTGCTACTTCATTTCTATTCTACAAATATATTCTGTATCTGCTTCAGTGAAGAAAACCAAAAGTTGTCACTAATGATATCTTGGGTGTCGCTTCAGAACGGGTTAGTTGAACGATCTTCAAGATTGGCGCTCACACGTTCTGACAGGCACTCCGCATGAACTTGGAAAGTTGCCCAAATTCTGTCCTTCATAGAAATCAAAAGATTGTAAAATATGATTGGTAAATATTTTCTGGCCAAATCTTGTCAACCGTGTGGAGAGACAGCCTTTCTCGGTGCCCCATATACAATGTATGGCACCCTGGGAGTGCCATCATAGCATGTTTCTTGTGCACTTTTGATGCTGTGTGGCACGCTTACATAGTTCACAACTCACCTGCTGGATATGACTTCAGCCAATCAAACTCTGGCGCATCTGGAGTGACGTAGCTGTCTGGTACCCAGCCGCACTGCTCTCCCAGCATACCGAGGAAGTACTGGCAGCGCGAAACTTCGCTCACACTCTGACACACTCACTCAATTATCTCAATATTTAGCGTCTGTTGTCCCCATCTTCTTGCACAGCAATACAGCCACTTGCCTCTACTGGCTATACGTATGCATGTAATATTAACTCACCTGCTGGGTATGACTTCAACCAGTCAAACTCCGGCGAATCTGGCACGACGTAGCTATCCGGTACCCAGCCGTACCGCTCTCCCAGAATCCCGAGGAAGAACTGGCAGCGGGAAACCTCGCTCAGACAGATCTCGAGGGACTTCTCACTACGAGACTCTTCCTCTGTGATGCCCCACCGCAGGTCAACCTCATGGATGTGCACAAACCTGCAGTAATTTGAAAAAAAAAAATAATTAATTTGAATAATTATTGTATTTCACATGAAAAAGAAATAAAAGTCATTGCGGCTAACCGTGATGACAAGATTGAAGAAGGTGATTTGAGGAAAGTTGTTTCTAAAGACAAAAAAAATTTATGGAGGGCACTTTTGTGACCATGTATTATATAAAATGCAATGTACTTAGGATCTCTCACAGTTACCATGATAATATAACCGTGTGTATAAGTCTAACTGTTACAGTATGGGCTTTTTCAGCAGGTTGGTTGTTGTCTAAGTATGTTGTACCTATTGACAAGTTTTTATGACTGACTCAAGATACTTATGATATGTATGGGGGGAATTAAGTAGCATTGTTTTTAATAGTGATGGTGAATATGAAGAGAAAAACATCCTCCCTACCTTTCAGCAGCCCTTGCCCGCAGCTCAGGGAAGACAAACCTGGTGAGCAGGTCCCTCTCACCGTGCATGTCTCTGAATGTGGAGGAGATGAACACACGGGCTGTTCTCCACACGGGTACAGTCAGCGGTCGGGACACAGACAAGTCTGGGGGAAAAGATATAAAAATATTAATTTAAGAATTAAAAGAACTCTTACTGCTAAAGTTTATCTTCACAAAAAGAAAACATGTTGTTTTTGCTCAGTCTCGAGCAGTTTCTTCTTCTTCCATTCCAAAGTCAATGATGACCCGGACCGTGGACCAGACATCTGTCACCATGGCAACTGGTGCTGTAGGAGACACCCTGTGGTGTTGGGTTACATTATGTAGCAGAAAAGAGAAGCGTGTTTTATTCAGGACTTTGCTTTATCCAGAACAGTTACTGTACTTTATCCATAACCATATGTGGTAAAAATAATTATAGTAAATAAACGTTCTTGGATACACAGAGAGTATCCAGAACTGTGCCTGATCCTAAGACCCTAACCCATTCAGGGTCAGCTACAAGCTCAACCTTTTGTTGTGAACAACAGTTTAAACCCTTAGTGTTTTCATTTATCTACAATGATACACAGAGCCTACACACCTGCAGTAGTCTGCAGTTCCTCCACAGCTGCAGCAGATGTTGAGACAGCTGCGGTAGGGACAGGCTTCAGGCTGTAAGCCTGGTCAATGTTCTCTACATGAGTCAATGCTCTATCCAGAACCATGCTCTATCCAGAACAGTGCTTTATTCTATGTTCTTGGATATACAGAGAGCATTCAGAATTATGCATGATGATCCTTACTCCAACCCATTCAGGCATAGAACTAGATAGGCTGCAAGCTGCAACTTTCTGTTGTAAACAATAGTTTATACCCTTAGTGTTTTCATCTATTTACAATGATACACAAGTAAGTACAATGATGACAGAATCTACAAACCTGCAGTAGTCTGCAGTTCCTCCACAGCTGCAGCAGATTTTGAGACAGCTGCGGTAGGGACAGGCTTCAGGCTGTAAGCCTGGTCAATGTTCTCTACGTGAGTCAGCTGGGCTCCACTCCCTCTCTCTGCTATAAACCTGTGTGGGAAAAGATCACTATTTGTAAGTCTGCAGGAACAGAAGTATTGTTTTGTATTTTGTCTCATCAGCTGTAGGTTTGTTTGTATCTTTGTCCAGACAGAGTAGGATAACAGCACAGAGTGGAAGGCTGACATAAAAAGAAGCCTGGTCAATGTTCTCTACATGAGTCAGCTGGGCTCCACTCCCTCTCTCTGCTATAAACCTGGGTGGGAAAAGAATACAATGTCATGTTGTACATGATTGTTACTAAGTAAACTAAGTTTGTGAATTTTTACTTCACTGTACATCTGTGAAAAATTCCAGCCAAACTGAAAATGCTGCTAAACCACAGGAATACAAAGCTGGAATTGTGAATTAACGGTAGTACCAAGGAGGTTTTTTATCGATCCGGTACATGCTGCACTGCACTGAGTTCTAGAGTTCCATGGAGCTTCGGCAGCCTGGGTGCCATCCTCTGTAGTTACCACCGACTCCCTATTGTCAGTAGCTACCATGGACTACGGAGGACGGCACCCAAACAAGAGGCTTGGAGGACAGTTTTTTTTTTTCGAACAGGTGAAAATCAATGCGCATGCGGATGTCATCCATAAAATTAAATCAGTGCATGTGGCCTTACCTGAGTATCTGGTCGCTGTAGCCAGCGATGTGTATATCATTAGGATGTGTCTCCTGGTCCACAATCCCACAGGCCCTCCCACTGAGGTCCACTGTCACAAACAGCAGGTTGGGGTTGACGTAACGTCGGTACTTCTCCAGAAACTTGGTCAGCTTCACGTTCAGGCTGGGGTTGTTGTCTCTGCCATTCCACAACACCAATAAGTTGTCCAGCTGAAAAATGTTTCAATTTATTTTCAATTCTCATCTCAATAATATATCTAAATCCTTTTTCTGAAAAGTAATCTAAAAAAACATATTCCCCTTAGTATTGAAGTTGATGACATTGTGACTACTGTTTTCTTTTCTCTCGGTCAATCGAAATTCTTGGTTTTCTGTTTCTTGTAACATTTGCAGGTCCATTCTCTGATGTTATCCTCCCTTTTCCGTTGCCTACCTCTCTTCTGTCCTCCCTGTACTGTTCCTTGCATGATACTTAATAATTTTGGCTAGTCCTGATTAACTCCTGATTAACCTGGCCTGGGCACTTAGGCAGGTAGGCAGGATTAACTTTTGTTTCTTTACCGTGGTTGGGAGGCCTCTGAATGGACCCTGTATTCAATGTGTGACTCATACTGTACTTCATCCTTTGAGATGTGGTTTAGAAAATGAAAAACCTTCAGCCTTACCTGTACCCTGTTCTTCAGCATGTCAGTCAGGTACTCTATAGGTACGTCAGGAGAAGATGCCTGGGACATCAGCAACTGTAATACATGCAGGACATTACTAAGTTAATCTCAATCATTCACAGTTTGAATGTTGGAAACACATGGTAAACTCATGGTCAAGTAATATGACAAGATATTAGATGGTGCTCATACAGGAACCTTACACAGGAGATAACACTTCTAGTAAACTGACTTCCTTAGTCTGTCACCATGGAAACTGGTGCTGTAGCAGACACCCTGTGGTGTTGGGTTGTGTTGTGAGTTGCAAGACAGAGTGGGATTATCACCTAATATATGAATTTGTCTGAGTAAGAATAAACAGAGTTCAGTCACTGACGAAAGCTAGTGGATACTAGCTGAAACGTCTGACCGTTTCCAAAATCATATCCAGTTCCTTGAGTAACTGCTTTTGGTGTATCGTATTACCTGGATGTCTAACCTTCATCGACGTAAACAGAGCAGTAGTTTGCTAAGCTAAACCATGTGAAGGTAAACATTGCCTTTTGATAAACCGACCTGTGTGAGCCCTTTCAGGCGTTCCACATTCTCCAGGATGGACCCCGTCTCCAGACTGACTTCCTGATGTTGTCCTGGTGACACCAGGTGCAGTTTGGACTCCTCACATGCATGTTTACACATCAAACCCAAAAGTAGGCCAACTTCAGTCAGCTGGAACAGATGAATATTAGATATTACATTCTAGAAGGAAGTTGTGGCAAAATGGTAGGGCATTCGGCCCGGAGCCCATGGGTCCTGGGTTTGATTCCACCTACATGCCCCAACTTTGTGCACTTGGGAAAGGCACTTCACACAACTTTCACCCAACATGCCAGTAATTGACGATTTCTTGGCGGATGGCAATTATCGGAAGAAGATGACTACTTTGTGATAACCCTTGGTTAATACATTAAATCAAACTCAATAAGTATTAAGCAAGTATTGAGATGGTTAAAAATTGTACAGCTCTAGGTTTGAATAAGTTATAGTACCCTGGCAAATTTTGGTATTTTGTAGGTATGTATTACATAAGATGGCTAGAATTCACACCAGTCCTACAGTAACTGTTCTAGGTTTGCCTAAGTTTATAGTAACTGTTGTACCCTGGCAGATATTGGTATTTGGTAGGTATGTATTGTATGAGATGACTTGAGTTCACACGCACAGTTCTAGGTCTGCCTAAGTTTATAGTAAGTTGTACCCTGGCAAATTTAGGTACACATGTACTAGTATATGCTAAGGTATGTATTGAGATGGCTAGAATTCACACGCACAGTTCTAGGTTTGCCGAGCCCCCGCGCTGCGGTACAGGGCGTCTCCATCTGGTCGTTCATCGCCATGGTGATGGCCGTTGTCCCCCTGATCGGCGCGACGTTGTAGCAAGTTGCGATCTTCACGGCTGTGTCGAGCGCCGTCCGGTAACGGTTCAGGAGAGCAAGGTCGTACTTCAGACCCCTGGGAGTGGGGCAAGTGGACAAGTTTAGTATCAAAGCTTCCTATCTGTGTACCTTCCTCATTCAAAACAATCATCAAAGACAGACTAGAAAAAGGAAACGGACACAAACACGATTAAAAAGAATTGGTAGTACAAGTAAGTTGAAGAATGACATATAATAATTGCGTACTCGAACCTCTAACACACACATATACACACGCACGCACGCACGCACACACACTTGTGTGCACACACACACACACATACGCACACACACACACATGCATACATAAACACACACACACACGCAAACGCATGCACACGCACACATACAAATGCGCACACAAAGACACGCAAGCACACACACATGCACACACACACACACACAGACAGAAACACACAAACATACACACAAATACGCACACAAACACATGCACGCATACATATAGACACAAAGACACACACTCACCTACATGTGTACATACACATAAATACGCACGCACGCACGCACGCATATACACACACACATACACTTACATGTGTGCATTGGTGTTCTTAGCCGAAGGGTCAGAAGACAGTGCAGCCTTGAAGTTCATCCCCCTCCCTCCTCCTCTTCCTCCTCCTCTTCCACCCCTGCCCCTGCCACGCCCACTGCCACGCCCACCACCACGCCCTCTTCCTCGACCATGCCCACTCTGAGGCAGAACTCCAGATTCTGTAAGAAGAATATAAATTAGCCAAATTTTGGCGTCCCTAAACCATAAAATGTAACAACATCAATTCCAATGTCTGAATCCTGTTTTCGAATTTTTAATGCACGCAATTAGGACAAAACGCGTTCAAATCCTTCTATGGAAGCCAGGCCAAACAGCAAAGTACAGTACAGCCTGGTCCATAACACTATTTTTAGAGGTTATCGCGGCCCAGGTATAATATAAATTAGGTTTGTTTATTTGTTTATTTGTTTATTTAAATTTTTCACAAAGTGAAAGGGAGGGCAAAACAGGTGCGAAGCACCTTTGCTAGTTGCCCTCCCGCATACAAAAACAACAAGAATGTACATTACACAGTCAACAATCTATAATACAAGTAGGGCACAAAATATCATATAAACATAATCAAGGTAACAACAATGAATGGAAGAGATAACCATATTGGAACGATATCTAGTGAGGTCTTGAGGCAATACAAGAGCTACATCCACACGAAGTGGTCCAGGTACATGGCAGATCAAGACTGTATTGAGTGTTGAATCTGTTGTAGGCTACTTTTGCCAGTTTATGTTTAAATGCTATGATATCAGACTGATGAGCGGCTCGCACACCAGTACCACGGAGGTCAGAACCTAACTTATTCCAGATAGTTACAAGTCTGGGAATGTAGGAGTGACTGAACGCTGACGTCTTAGATCTGACAGGTGTAAGCATGTACGACCTAAGACTCCTCGTGGGTCTGGTGGGAAGTGTAATATATTTCTCTATGATTGCTCTTGATTTGACAACTAGTTTACAGCTAGGTTACAGCTAGTGTTGTACATACTGAAGGCTGCTGGAAGGATGTTCACACTCCACCACGATTTGGGCAAGACTGATCCAGTGACACTTGGGTCTCTGTCCTTTATTAGTCTTAATTCACACGAGATGTGTTGCTGGTGGGTGGACACAAGTCCTACCCCCTATACACTAGTACCTGCTGCTGTGAGGTCCTTTTCCAGTTGATTCAAAACTTTGTAGGCAGAGAAGAATCTGAATGGAAACTGTCTGCTGTTGATGACTGCTCCCTAATCTGTCAGCTTTCACAGTAATACCAACTCTCTATTTAGTTATAGCTGGAGTGCACTGATATATATGGCCTCTTAAATACCTTTATGATTACAGACTAGTACCTGCTGCTGTGAGATCCTTCTCCAGTTGGTTCAACACTTCGTATGCAGAGAAGAACCTGAATGGGAACTGTCGTGAGTTGATGACTGCTCCCTCGTCCGTCAGCTTGCACAGTAATACCAACTCTCTATTAAGTAAATAGCTGGAGTGCCGTGATATACTGTATATGGCCTCCTAAATACCTTTATGATTACAGACTAGTACCTGCTGCTGTGAGATCCTTTTCAAGTTGGTTCAGAACTTCGTATGCAGAGAAGAATCTGAATGGGAACTGTCTGGAGTTGATGACCGCTCCATCATCCATCAGCTTACGCAGGACCCAGCCGTGGTGTTTGGGACTGATCCCGGCTGTCAGCATGTTCCGTAGGTTCCGCAACATCGCCATGAACGGCAACTTCTTGTGATCTATGAATATTCAATTTGATACATTGTTGCCAACAGTAGATATTGTTACATCGTTGGCAACAGCAAGTATGATCCACAAGAAGAACATTTTACTGAGATACAGACCACAAGTTGTATTTAATCACTGACACTGTCATACATGGCAACTTCTTGTGATCTAGAAACATACATTTTTTGTGACTGGTCGGAGGCTCTAGGTGAGAGAACTTCTTTGTTTTGGATCAAAAATTTTAATTCTAAACGTGTACAACTACCAACACAGATGAACTTTTATGACAACATTGATACGTTGTCGGCAACAATAGGCATTGTTGCATCATCGAAATCAGCAAGTAAGATCCACAAGGAGAACAGCAGACATTAAGGCCACACCAATTTAATTTGTTGGTTCTCGGATTCGCCTCTTCGTTTTTTTCTGATTTGCAAAAAAAAAAAAAAAGATTCTGGTTCTGAATCAACTGAAAAATGCTCATGTTTTGCCCTCAACAGTTGAGGAAAGTCCTTTTCTTCCTAGTTGTTACAGTTTTCCCATCTATCATTGCAGTGGTTTGATTAAAAGTTCAAAATTCAATGTTTAAATTTTAACCCAGCCTTTTGTGTTGACTTCATGGCTCATTTTGTAGCATTTAAGACTATAATAGGATGCCTAGATCTGTTTTATTTTATTTTTTTCGCCCTGTCGCTTCATATTTTTTCTGAAAAAGTCCGAGAACCAACAAATTAAATTGGTGTGGCCTAACCAAACAAAAGATATGATACTATTCATATCTCTTTTGACATTTTAGTGGAGCAAAAGTTGTATCCAACCACTAAAATTTAAATTAGAACTGACCAATCAGCTCCTCCCAGACCTCAGCCTTGTTGCCCCTGAGTGACACCTGTGTCTCCCATGTCTCTGGTTGCTAAGGAACAACCAATGAGAAGAGTCTACATATTTAAATAAATTAGAACTGACCAATCAGCTCCTCCCAGACCTCAGCCTTGTTGCCCCTGAGCGACACCTGTGTCTCCCATGTCTCAGGTGTTGGGAGTTTCATCCGTTTTCCGGCTCTGTCCGGATCCCAGGTACCCGGCAGTCGGCTTTGATAGAAACTCTCCAAGTCCTCAGGATATCTAAGTCAAACACGGGAGGAATATCAAATGTCAATTTCATTACAAAATCAACATGACAGAAGTACATAATATTATTGAACATCTCAATTGTGTTGAGTTTACTATTTCGCGTATACAAAATATTACCTATAGATGTATTTCACACACACCTACAGTGCACTACACATTTTGTACATCAATCATTGAACAACACAGTGACTACTGTACACAAAAACAAGCTGGCGAACTATACATTCTGTAAGCATTCACTTTGATTCAGTAGGATTGTGTACTGCAAAGACAAGATAGAAATCTGGGACTTTGGACTTTTAGGAAGTATCTAGGATTTTGTGATCTGTAAGTTCACCCCAGTCACTCTGGTCTTCCTCAGTAGTCTGACCCACTGAGGCTTGTCATGTGGCTTCTTCGAAGTGTGACGTCAACACTGGTTTAAAGGTATCTGGTAGACAATGTCGGCCCCCGTTGCAGAAAGAAGCCACGTGACAAGCCTCACTGGGTCAGTCTAAAGAGGAAGACCAGAGTGACTGGTGGAAAGCTCCTAGAACTTTTGTGTTGGATCTAAAGTTTTAACTTTAAACATGTAACTACTTGACAAAGATGAGCTTTCATGATACATGCATTAGCCTGTTGTACACTTGAAGAAGCCACACAGGCGAAACCGGTCGTGTGACAGGCTGAATAAAAGTTCTAAACGGGAACTATGCAGCTCCAGATGTCTTACTGAGGGACGACTGCGTGTGCAAGATGTCGGTTAGCTGAGGAATGAATCCCCTCGAATTCACATGAGCTTTCATGATAGTTACAATAAAAAGAATCTCACTTCTTCCCAATAAGAGCCATGACATGTTCCACAGGTTGTGTGATGTGCAGTTTGCGAATCAGCTGTTTGAGTGTGAAGGTGAGCCTGACTAGTTCCTCCTCATTTTCTCCTCCTTCACTCTCCATGGAGATCTGCTGAACCACCTTGGGCTGGTCCTTGTCTTCTTTCTTATCATCCTACAGCAAAACACCCAAAACAAGTGAGTCACTTTCCTCACGTCGGTCAGGTGAAAATGAGTATGCCAGAATGATCATTATTATGATCGTGGGCATCAAAGGAAAACAAAACCAACCAAATGTTAGTTTTGAGTTACAAGAAATCAGCAAGATATTGAACCCTCCCGGAAAAATATCTTTGAAGTTTGAGAGATTTTTTAAATTTATAATGGACACAACCAAAGAGTGTACTTTTAATGTCATAGAACAGAAATCTTGCAGTCTCCATTCCAAGAATGTAGCTACAGATTTGCCCCAGATGCATGCATATCCAAGAACATAGATTTGACTCTGAGGCACAGCTCTGGATACGAACTTGGACTATCCAGAACCATGCCTGAGCAAGATTCTGGATAAAGCACGGTTCTGGATACAACACTCAGCCCATTTTAAGTAACACTCTTCCACCAAGAAAACAGACAATCATACAATACGCGAAAAGGCAGTTACTCAAGCAACTGGATATGATTTTGGAAATGGTCAGACGTTTCAGCTAGTATCCACTAGCTTTCGTCAGTGACTGAGAGACCAGTGGGGAAATGCAGGTTTATAAGCACAAACTATTGATTGATATGCATATAATCATACAAACCTTTTTTTTCTGAGTTTTCTTGTCCTTGTTGTACTTGGCCAGCTGGTACTGGTCAAAGTCAGGGAACTTGGCGGCCATGACCTTCCTCAAGGCCACAGGAAGGGAGCCAAAGTTCAACGACCTGTCATGGAACGTCTGGAAAAAAAATCATTATTATTGGTACTTTTTACTTCAAAGTGATCATCATTCTTCCGGTGCTAAACCACATGATTTAAAAATAAACAATGATATAGAAAATTGGTAGCTAGGGTTAAAGGTTAAGCTTGTAGTATAATTATGATATATATATAATATCAACTTGTTTTTTTTGTAGGCAAATCATCTACTTTTATACAAACTTCAGATATTTGCATACTACCAACAGACAAATTTTTCGTGATTTTGCTAGAATTTGATACTAGTAACTGTATTCCATTGGAACGGTACTACAAATGGACATGCTGTTGCTTTGACGATTTAGATTCTATTTTCTGTTGTACACCTTTTGTTGCTTGACTGAATATACGTAACCAAGTCTTGTGTTAATGTATGCTTGGCCCCTGGACCATTTGAAAGCAGCTTCTAGTAGCTGAATGGGCTAAACTGCCGTTTTATGATGAAACAAATAAACAAATAAACAACATGAACAAACAGACCTGGTAAATCTCAGCGACTTCTATCCAGTCCGACGGCAGCCTGACAGAGGTGCTGAAGTACTTCTTGAGGAACGGCCGGCAGGCGGGAACGTTCGCAGACAGCGCCAGGAGGAAGTTTGCTGTGACTCGGATGTTTAACTCCTGACGCGTGTACAGGGCAAGCTGGAACGGAACAGAGTTTTTTAATGTTCGAAAATCTAACTGTTGCCTAAATGTGTTGTACTGGGGTCGTGTGAATTGTGGGGTTGTGTGGCGTAACGGCAGAGCATTCAGCTCAGAACAAAGAGGTCTCAGGTTTGAATCCTACCAAGTCACCTTGTGCCCTTAGGAAAGGCACTTTACACGACTTTCCCCACTTCACTCCTAAAGGTGAAAATAAGTATGCCATAACGATCATTGTGATGATTCAATTCAATTCAATTCAATTCAGTCTTTATTAAACAACTCGCAGACTTAAGTCTGAATTGTGTTGCTCATTACAATATTCGGGAAACGTTAATAAGATTACAGACAATCATCTTAAGTAAAATGCGCTTTCGTTTACAAATATAATACATTACATAACATTACAAATTAAAATATATCATAAAACACAGAAGAGAAGACGTCTGTGCCGCTGTGTCACTCAGTGTATAAGGTACTGCAGACACGACAGATAAGTGAAGTCTGAGCGCAAGTACTATATTCATTACTTGGCATTTAACAGTTCAACTAAAAAAGGAATTGGTGAGTTCTTGTGACGTGCAGACCGACAGAGTGGAACATCAAATTTATTAGCATTACGTGTACTTCTACCGGAAATGATCTGTCTCAGCAGGGGCAACCAATCACGGAACTCAGAGTTCAGCAGGGATTCTGCAAATGCCCTACAAAGTTCGCGACGTCGGTCAGCAAGGGAGCTGAGGTTCAGGGTTGTCAGTGCCATATAATAGCTCGAATACTGTGATCCCAAGATGATTTTACAGGCCCTCGTCTGGATCCGTTCTAGAGTCTTAGATTGTTTAGTGGTCAAGGCCGGATGCCACACGGGCACTGTGTATTCCAGTAAAGGGCGCACGTACACGGTGTAGACAGACACCAGGTCAGGAACTGACACACCGAATCTTTTCAGCCTCCGTACCATGTAGAGTCTCCTATTTGAGGATTTCACCATACTGTCCACTTGCTGGTCCCATTTCAGATTGTTTTGAATCGTCAGGCCGAGAACCTTGATGCATGTAACGGTTACCAGGGTCTGTTCACTGATGATCAGTGGTTCAGGTGGGGGAGGAACCTTAGCGAAACAGATCTGTAGCACTTTGCATTTCTTCGGGTTCAAAGCCATCACATGATCATGGGAATTAAAGGAAAAACCAACGTCTCTGTTACGACAAGTGTGAGATTACTTTTTTCAGTGAGTTATATACTGGATCGAGATCACACATCCTTTCCTCATTTCTTTACCAGAATGAAACTCAAAAAGATGTACAAAAAAAAACATGTAATCATCAAACCTTTAAGATGAACTCTGGGTCGAAGTTGACCAGCTGCTCTGCCAGTGCTGACAGCCTGACCCTGGTGGCGTCATGTTCCTCCCGCAGGTTGGGAGACTGGATCAGGGAACCACTCACAGCGTTGATCAGGGTTTGCTGGAGATTAAAGTTAAAATTATACCAAAATGTTAGGAAACTCAAACAGGATACAGGTCTGTGTAGCCTGGTTACCAGAGCTATTATAGCTCCCGAGTCCTACATCGTCTCTGCTATTTATGCTAATGTAAAAAACTTGCAATGCATAGTATACTGTCTGATTCATGTATGTAAGATGATCAACATCATAGATGTAGAGAGCTACAGTTAATTTGATATGGTTGTAAACTTCCATTCTTGACTTAGGCCTATAGTCTATTCATCTGCAATAACCATGATATAACAATGGTTCTGCTAGAACTCTAGTAGTACCTTTAGAGCAGGTAGGTTTGTTGTTGGCAGCTGCTGACAGATAGAAGAGTCCAGCTCAGGTGGCAGGAAGGCTGGCTGTTCTATCATCTCCATGGCAACATCAAGCCTGATGTCATACTCGGGTTTCATCGTCTCAGCCTCGAGCATGACCTTCCTCTCTCCGTGGGTCACCTTGACCCCTGGGTCATGCTTGTTCTTTTTTGTCGACCTGTGCTTTTTCTTTGTTGTTTTGGCATGATCGGCTGTTTTGCGCTGTTTTATTTGCAGCTGTGAATTTTCTGATAACTGCCTTTCAGCATAATGCACCCTCAGCGATTCTATTGGCTGCGAGAGATCAGCTGACTTGGGCAAGAGTTGCAAGGCACCCTGGGAATGAAGAACCTGATGACTGTGGAGTGAGGAACTCTGGGATAGCTGCAACGGCTTGCCTGTTTGCAGCAGAGGATTGTGGGATGTTTGGAAACCATGTTTCGAGCCGGCAGCACTTGAGTTGAGAATATTGTTGACTGTCGTCCCAGTCAAAGGTTTGCTCTGGACCAAGGCAGGATTTTGTAGTGATGGTGACTTCTTTGGTTTGATTTTTTCCTTGTCAAATGTCTCAACATTGCTCTGCAACCTTTCCATTTTGGGCTTCTTTGTCTCAATTTTGTTGGAGCCAACTAAAAGCCTGTTGGTGGTGAGGTCACTGCGCAACTCTGCCGATGATTTGGGCTTGCTTTTATCCAAATTGTGGGAAACTTTCCCCAGAAGAGGGTTTGGAAACTTCGTTGTCAGACCGAGAAGTGGGTTGACTTTAGTTTGGGACTCCAGGTTTGTCTTTTGATTGACAGCTGATGACAGCAAGGGATTGTGGGTAGGGAAAACCATGGTGGTTGCTCCCTTGGTGAGCGGCATGATGAAACAAGTCTCGGCTCTGAGGAAAGATTATAAGAGAAATATTTTATTTTTGGCCAGCATTTATACAGAAGGCAGAAACTTGGTCCTCTCTCCAACTCAAATTATAGCTCCATGATTTAATCGATGTCTGCTCTGCACTACAGAATAAAAACTTTAATATCTTTGGTGGTGGTAGTCATTCTTTGCAAGTTTTCATGATTTGCTATAAGGAAGCACACCTCTCGATCTTTTATATACTTAATCAAATGACGATATACTCTAACTCTACTCTCTAAGTTGTATAGCTTAAACTTACAAAATAAACGCAGATATAGGTAGACATAACGTTACATTGAACGGTGACATTGTTTGCAACATACACCTAATCATTTTGCTTAGCCTTAGTATTGTTTACATTATGGCATTCAGTATATGCACTGCAACAAGACGTGCAAAAACATTAGGAAAAGACGTGACGTTATATACCTTTTGTTGTATCTGCCTGTATGTCTACATGTAGTTTAAAACCTTATGAAAGTCGCTGTGCTTTTGTTGTGTCAATAAAGTTATAACATATCTTAAAGGGTAATTCGAGCGGCCCCGCCTCCTAAACACCTGCATAGCAACAACTGTCCCGGAGGAAAATGAAGAAAACTTTTACCCTTACCGACTTGTCTCTGCCACTCAAGGCACCCTCTCCCTTTTTCGCAGGCTCCTTGAGTTTAAATAAGCCTGTCTAAGACACGAGACAACGCAGAATAACAAAGAAATGCGTCGGTGGCAAAGGTTGCAACAAGTTTTGCAATACCAACCCGGAAGTAAGCAAGGTCCCGCCGGGTGCATCATGGGATACTAAGGGCTATTCCATTTTGCCTTTGGGGGCGTTTATCAGTACTCTCAAAGAAGAAGAGGTTTGGGTTTTGGCTTACTAGTATTTTTGGCGTTTTTTTTTTATCGGTCATTCTTTTTTGCGTAAAAAAAAGATACCAGACCAAAAATGAAACAAGCGTGGGAATAGAAATAGTTTGTTTAAAAAAAAGAAAAGGAAAGTTGCCTTTACTATGAAATCTACGCTTGAACAAATGCTTAGCATACAAAGGGTGGTATGGCACACTAATAATATATACACTCTTTTAAAGTTTGCTTTCATTTCTTCACACTTTCTTCTTAATTCCAAAAACATTGGAATTAATTTTGACGATGATCTCCAAGCAGATCCCTTTCGGTGGCAAGACAGTATCCATTATCCATCAATTGGCTAAATTGCCAATATACTAGTAGTTCCCTGTATTATACTTTTTAACTGCTTCCTAACGATGTGGAATTCCTGTCTAAACGATTCTACTTACCTCTACATTAAGAACATAATATCTATCATCCGTGTATAGCCTTAAACCTAAATCGCATTTTAATTTTTGTATTATTTATTATCTGCTCTGTGTAATTTACGGATTAAATGTTATCGACGTTAATGTTAGCTTAATTCATGTTTAAAATTTAATCAACATGTCAATGCCGATATTAATAAATCTGGATCTGAAATATTTATGCTTCCCTGGATACCAGACAACAACAACCGACACTTCCGCATTCCTGCCTTAAGGCCACGCCCACGAGTTAATGTATTCTAAAGGCTAGGTAACATGGCGGCGGCCGGCTTGTGAGTTGACAGTGATTCTCTCCGCATCTAAGACGTCTTCTGGCCGGTAACAAACCCTTAGGTACGTCTAGCTTAGCTCTTCTGTATGATGCTGATAGCCTCTGTAGCAGGCTTAGCTGTTTTCTGATTAGGCCAGTTCTAAAACAACGGGGGTAATTCAACCAGGCCGGCTATGTTGTCTATATGCAATCAGAAAATAGCACATAAAAGCTCCCAAAGACCCTGAAGACCCCCAAAACCCCCAGTTTTTGGCATGCTATGGAGGCTAGATGCTGCTGATACAATTAGAGTTTTGTAGGGTTAGTCTAGCTGTTTTTAAACTGCAGAATGCCGCCGATCTAGGTGTAGGTGCTTGACAACAAGACAATGCGTACCTGCTTGGGCGGTTTTTCTTGTGTTGTCTTACCTGTACGAGCACACCTGTGTACAAAAGGTAGGTTACGACAGGTGAGTTAAGAAGGTCACCCGAAAAAGTGCAAGAATTACCCGATCTTCCTGATACAGGTATCTTTAAAAGTAAAAGTGGTCTAGCTCTCGGATGTCAGTGAGAGTGTCGCCCCTCCCCATTAGATAATGGTACAGTCCCATAGCAGCAAATGGGTACCCAGTGGGCCAAATGTTATTGGCATTACATAATTAATACTCCATATTGATTATCATTAATACCATTGTGTTATTGGGAAGCAGTTGATGGTGGTTGTGGGAAAAGATTTCTCGTGTCATGCTTTATATAAATGCTGTTTTTGCTGCAGGTAAAGTTTGTTTTGTAGACTAATTGTTGTGTTGTTGCTAGGGACAGTAACTGTTACATGTAGGTCATGATTCAAAATGCCTAGGAAATGTCCATATACAATGAATGGCCATTGTTTAAGTGGCAACAAACTGTTCAGAATGTTGATCAAAATTATTGCAGTTTTTGTTTTGAACTTTTGCATCAAATTTGTGGTCTTTTATTTATCTATTCATTTCATTAGGCAAGGGTACATGTATACTTAAATCTGTATGTTGCAACCTTATTGCATTCAAAATAGTACTATATCATATGATAGAATTGTTCAACCCCAAATGACTATAACACTGCAAATGATACTGAAGTACTATTAAATTAATTGACAGTGGTGGTCTTCTTGATTAATTAATGTTTTCCATTAATACATACATGTACATGTATCAATATTAATATGCTACACCCCAAATTATATGCAAGTGCAAACTGCGACTATGCAACTTTTTAAACAGCACTATGCAATAACAATAATGTATTACTATTAATTAATCTTTTTGTTGTTGTTTTTCAGGAATCAACAGAAGTTATGTTCTCCCACCTTTTGGACTGGGCCAGTGTGCCTGCCCACCTGCAGTTCAACCGGTTTGTGCTAGGGGGCTATCGTCCACTGCAGTCTGTAGCAGAGTGTGTGCAGAGCCTCTTCTATCTGCACAATGAGCTGTTCAACATCTTATCTCATGGTACGGAATGGCTGATATTGTTATTTCCAGGGGTATTCTTTTGTGTGTGTGTGTGTGTGTGTGTGCGTGCGTGTGTGAGTGTATCTGTGTGTGTGTGTGTGTGCGTGCGTGTGTGAGTGTGGTGTGTGTGTGTGTGTGTGTGTGCAGGTATGAGTGTGTGTGCATATGTGTGTGAGTGTATGTGTGTGTGTACGTATGTGTGTGTGTTTGTGTACATGAATGTATGTGTGTGTGTACATGTGTGTGTGTGTGTACATATGTATGTGTGTGTGCGTACATGTATGTGTGTGTGTGTGTGGTTGTGTGTGTAATCTACTATGTGTGTGTGTTACACATAATGTATGTGTGTGTGTGTGTTTATGTGCGTGCATGCTTGCGTATGCGTGTGTTTTATGTACATGTACGTACTACTGTACACCAGGCTTATAATATTTTGTTTTCACCCGTAGGTCTTCCCATCCTGTTCTTCGCCCATTATGCGACCGACAGTCATACCTGGGACCAGATCTCGCACAGTTGGCTAGCTTACCTGAACTACGCTGCAGCTCTGGCACCACACCTGGGGAGCCTGTCCTATCACCTGTTCATGAACCACAAGTCAGGTGCAGGGACCTACTTCAGACTGCTCAAACTGGACATGTGTGGTGTGTGGGCCGTTCAGACACTCGGTAAAACAGCTACTCTTTATTCTTAAATCTTGCAATGTTAGCAGGAGTTCTTTTTCCGTGACATGAACCACAAATTTCAGTCATTCGCACAGACGTACTTACATGTAAGACTGCTCAAACTGGTCATGTGTGGTGTATGGGTGGTACAGACGCTCGGTAAGTCACTGACGAAAAGTAGTGGATGCAACCTGAAATGTCTGACCATTTCCAAAATCCTATCCAGTTGCTTGAGCTTTGGAGGGAAAGATACAATCTTCCACAGCCAGACCCCCTGGCCAATTTTACTCTCCTTTTTGCAGAATTCTACAAGCTGTATTTCCATAGAAATGCCTGGTGGAGGCTAGTACAAGTATCTGAAAGTGGATTTCCCCTCAATACTAGTAACACTTGTGTGTACCAAATATCTATGATTTGTTTAATTTATTGTTTCAGCTTTCATAAATTGATTAACGACCTTCTGAACAGGTCCAGGAAATCTGCTAACATCTAGTTGCACATTTTTGCAGGTGCCTTGACAACAATCTATGCAACGTTCTACTGCAACAAGCTGCTCCAAACCTTAATGCTGACCACGTACATCCTCGTATCATCATGGACATTATACGAAGCTGTACACGCAACGTCCGTCTACAAGAGAATGTGCTCTTTTGCAGCGCAAGTCGCTATCCGTGTCCTAACTCTTCTAGTCCGAGTGTCACCACTCGGGTACGGAAATCCGTATTCCACCAAACACACTTTTCTTATGGACGCTTTTGCTATCACTGGCGGAGTAATAAATCTGTTACGGGTGCCTGAAAGATTTTGGCCGGGAAAGTTTGACTATTTTTTTAACAGTCACAATATAATGCATGTGATGACCACTATAGGCGTGCTCCATATGCATTGGGGTGCGGTAGGGGATATAATGTGGGCGTCACAGTATCAATGCAATGTATAACAATTGAATGTGAAAATAATGATCCATTCAGAATTTGACAAAATAATATAATTGCCTTTCTATACTGGGTTCTTAGCCACACAACCAAAAATTGGCAATTTCTCTTGTTTAAGGGCTAGATTAAAGCCCTCAAGGAAGGTAGCCAAATTTTTTTTAATGTGTATAGCTGTAGCTAAGACCCAAAGTGATGCATAAAGTAATATTTACCAAATTGTTAGTGGTACACCAAGTGTATTGTCCTGATTTAGAAACCCTGTGCGGAGGGAGAAGAAATATGGTACCTACATGCTTGTATAATGACTGTAAATTTTGTGATGTTGGTAGAAAAGCAAAGCAAATTGGGCTACTAGGTACTTTTTTTATATCAAGACTGTATTTGATAGAATCTTTTGTATAGAAGTACAGACTGCAAATGATCAATTAATTGATGAACATTGTATTGAAAAATTAATATATGGCTTTTATACTTGATGGCAGGAGTAATGTGTATAACCCATCAGGGTTAAAAACTGTAAGGAGATAGCCTCTACCAGGCTTGAAATGTGGCTGGAACGAGTAGAAATTAGCCGAATAGACAGATAACATGTCAGAGGAATTGGTCCGCTAAAGGAGTACAATTTGCTGCTTAGTGGGCTAATAGTAACCTAACTCCCTTGGCATGTTATCTGTCTATATTGCCAATTTTTACTCTTTCCAGCCACTTTCAACACCTGGTAGAGGCTAGCAAAAATCAACTATGTGCAAATCAAGGTAAAATAATGAACCTAGAATAATTCTATGCCACTGAATCATCAGATATGGTGAAGGGAATAAATTGATAGAGAAACTAATACACTGAAGAGTTGTCACTTTCATGAAAGTCAGGGGCTTGCATTTGAATGGGTGTGTTTTGTATGGTACTGCAGAATAGGGCACTTAGTGTAAAATAACCCATAAGCTCAACCAAGGATTGAGGTGCTCAAGAATCCCAGATTGGAACTCGCTGTAACCAAGTACAGTAGGGGCATTGTCATATGCTAAACAATGTCTAGAGTTAGATGTTCAAGGGTTAGGTGTAACAAGTCGCTCGTTGTGATGTAGCCAGCTGCCGCCGCGCCGTGTGCCTGCGAAGCTGGTGTGTTACGCCGAAGGGTGGTTATACCGGCTATACAGATACAGATAGGTACAGAAGCTATGAAAGGAAGAAGAAACCAAAAACTGACAAAGAAACAAACTCAGCATCAGTCACTTTATTGTGACATTAACCACATACAAGCTGACAGGGAAAATGTTTCAAACATCTTTACCAATTATAAGGAAAGTCATAAGAATAATCATAAGAACAAATGACTGTGAGTAAACTTCTTTTTTTTCATCTGCTGGTAAGTAATGTTAGATGTCTAACAAGGGATTCTTACAGGATAAAATTGATCATTTATTAAGAGAGCCGAGGATGGATAGATCAAATACTTACTACCTGCAGATTTGGGAAATCATTATTTATTTAATTTATTTATGAACATTTACCACATTCGTGGAAGAATTGACATAACATGTAACTATCACCTCTTCAAAGATGTCAACCTTGGGACCAGACTGTATGGTAACTGTTTTCAATCCATGTCTAACAATAAAGATGTCAGAATTTTATCAAGCAAAATAGAGTGAGTAGGAGAGGTAACGATTTCACTGAATACTTTTTTGAATCCTCGACCTGTCAGCTGGGTTACATGGTGTCAGGCAACTTAGGGGTCAAAGTTGGCAGGACGGACCATCATTTTGGACTTTTTCAGATAGGTCTTATAGGAGCCTCCAAACGGGTTCCAATAGATACCGTAGCCGCTGCGACTGGTGTAGTCAGAGGGGCGGAGGTACGGGCCGTTCAGGGCAGACTGAGCGCAGTCCTTGTACCACCACCCTCCCGTGTAGGTACCCTTACCACCAGCACAGGACCCGCTATTGTCATCAAAGTCCCAATCCCTAGAACTGAACGACTGACCCGTTAGGTAGGGATTAGATGATGAGTCTGAGAACCCATCCCCAGCGGTCCCACTGTACCCACTAACAGAAAGGCTATACAGGTACCAATTACTATCAACCGAGAATGAGTTATACTTGGCGTACTTAACCACGCCTGCCCAATCTTCCAGCTCTACGTATAACTCATACGCGTCCTGATTTGTCAAGTAGTACATGTTCAACAACCCCAGCCAATGCTCTCCATCGGCAGCGGACCCAAACCCATGGAGAAATGCGCCCCAAGGTCGGTTGAAGTCGATAGACCCGTCAAACCTGTTCTGTATGACCGTCCACCCTCCCCCATCTGTGGTCTGATCACAGTATACAGAGATCGGTTCGGTCAGACCTACAGGCATGATGTCGTGTACACCACTAGACACAGCATTTAACATGGACAGTGCTGTGTGGATGTCAGAACAGTCGGAAAAGTAGTTTGTGCGCCCGCTGAGGGCCAGAGAAGACATGACTGTCTGGGGAAGCTGCCCGTCCACATGGTCTGGCTTGTCAGCTTGGTTCTCTTCCTCCGGAGACAACAGCGATTCTGTAAAGGAAACATAAAAGTTAATAGGAGACTGACGAAATGTCACAAAGTTTTGTAGTTGGCTATACCTTTTTCAAAATATGTTACAAAATTAAAATATATTTCTTTTGTCACCCCATGAAGTTCCACCAGAACAATAGTTGAGATAGAGGTAACAGAAGACTCATTTAAACTTAAAGGCATCCAGTGCAGTTTTTAGGGCTTGGAAATCCGATTGTCAAAGCCAATATTCTAGTCATTTACCTACATATTGAGTTAAAACTGCCAAAAAGGAGTTAAAACCACACTATCCCAATGTATATTGACCCTCATGGAGCAAACATTTCCAAAAGTCTGAAGGGCCCTGGGCTGATTCTTGGGGTACCACCCAGAAAATAAATGGCAGACATCTTGGGGTTTGTTTCTGCAGTTTTAAATACCCAAATTATGAAATACTGACTCAGATGATCGACGGCCTTATTCTGAATATTTCCAGTTTTGCTGCTATGAAGTCGCATTGGATGCCATTAACTCAAAAGCGGTGTGCTTACCACAGGTGGCAGGGTCGAGTGAGTTGAGCGTGTCTCCCACAGCTTTGCACACGTCCTTCACCAGAGAGATGTCATCGGGGCTCGGTTTGGTCAGAGCTGCAAGTAAAAATCATTTTGAGACATTTTGAAATGATACGTAGCATTTATAGCATGTCCTTTGACTCCTGCAACCTTACTCAACAGAGTGGTCCTGGGAGAAAATTTGACTGTTGAATTTAACTAAAATACTCGTAGATGAAGTTCGTTTTTATGACAGGTTACTGGTTTTCAGTCTCTAGACCCCTTAGCCATACACAACCAACAGAATGCATCGACGAAAAAGATCATTTACATTATCTCAAAGCACATCTGATCTTTTAGAGGCTGGAACGACAATGTCAAATTGGCCAGTATCTATTTGCTGGTACAAAAAAAGGAGCCCAATAAAAACTCCTAAAAACATTCAGCAAAAAAGGCCTAAGCCAAAACCTCTGCTCCTAGAGAACCAGTTACAAAAGTTGTGTAACGATGCTCCTATATGTATGTCCTTGACTCTTTCCCTCTATGATCTACAACATATCATATTCAGCACTCACCAATATTTTGGCACCCTTCCCTGATTTTACACAGGTCCGCGGTATGTTGCAGTGTGCCCCCGTCCTGCGATGTTCCACGGACCGTGCTGCAGGCAGCAGCGATGAGTAGAATCAGGTACAGCATCATGTCGGCTGGTCGGCAGTCTGGCTAAACCCTGATGCAGGCCTGTATTTAAACCTTACCTACACCTGTCCGTATTTACCAGCCACTTTAGACAGAAATAACCGACCCTCCAGACGTGAATGTGCTACTTCCCTCTCTCCTTTATTAAAATTGACACAACAATCAGCGAACCAAATGTACAAAGGAATTTTCCAATTTCATTCAGATGTCATCTGTTTGGTTACTTGTAAAGCAATATAGACTGTTTGCTTTAAAGAACTCGCGCCGGTATTCAAAGGCTACTCTACACACCGTTGAAAATGAATTATCAAATAATCTTCGAGTGATCCTCCACATGTACAAAAGCGTGAATTCGTTACTTCCTGCCTTTCTTTATTAAAGTTGACACAACGCTCAGCTAAATATTTTGTACCATCTGCCAGAAAGAAAAATGTGTTCTGTCGGCACCAACAAACCAGTTCACTAGTCTGCCCTGCTATGTGACTACTGTATGTCATTTTAAGTTGTTTGGTACACAATTCAAAAGTTCAGAAATTTTCAATGA